CAGGCTGGGGCAGGCATGTACACATTCTCTACACCATTTGTAAAAGGTGTGTGGGTGTGTATGCGTGCATATGATTAATATATAATAGATTAATATAATAAGAATATAATATATATTTTCTCTTTTATGCAATCCATTTTGAACTAAAACTACTCCATTAAAATACTTGCTATCACAACCACCGATCACCGACCCCCAGGCATGCAGTAAAGCCCTAAAGCATTGGCTTCATTCTCTGTATTTGGAGCATACACAGCTTAACCACAATGTAATTCTGTGTGCATCTCTTGACATAAGTTTTGTCAGAAACCCCCTGGCTTCTCAGTTCTGGTCATTTAAAACAGAAGAAGGCAAGGTGTCGTCACGGACTCATTTAGGATAAGGCACTGCCAGCCATGCTCTCGGTGTTCCTCCTTACAGCCTTAGCATCAAACACTGTGAAACTGAGAGCAGTTCCAAAAGAAGTGAGAGGCAATTAACTATGGGCCAGTCAGATCTAAAGAGAGCGGAGGGATTAGCTTGGACATGGAAAATGACTGGCATTCCTCCAGCAATCTGTTGATAAAGGTACCGCAAAGGGGCTAATAACGACGAATGGCCTCAAACCATCCTCTGTCTTCAGTCAAGCCAGATTCCTAAGTCCCCGAGTAAGGGTGGTTCCAGTGTTGGAAACTGGACAAAATTCTTCCACAGACTATTTTCATGGTATGAATATGAAATGTCTCCCTGGGCTCACAAACTGAGCTTTTGATTGGTTTGGGAGGAAGTGCTTGTATCCTCATCATTAATCCCTCAATGGATTCATAGTATCTTTGTATTGTTACAATGTGTATAAGGTATAAGTCAGGGCCTATCTGGAAAAAGTAGGTCACTGGAGACGTATCCTTGACAACTGGATCTCAACCTCCACCCTATTCATGGGCTGCCATGACATAAAGAGCTTCCTCCAGCATATTTCCCTGATGCCTTAATGTTCTACCAGTAGCATAGGACCGAGCAACCATCAACTGAAACCATAACCCCAAGTAACCATTTCCTCCCTTCAGCTGGTTACACAAATGCTCTTCCACAGTAAGTCTGACTAATATGGCCACTGTATCCTTCAATGAATACCCATGGCATTAAAGCCAAAATTTCTCTATGAAAATTGACAGGATGGAGAAGGAAGGCCAGAGGGTAGACGTTCCATCCCACCATGAACATCTGTGTGGTCTTGGGACACATCTCAGAGCTACTCTGGGCATTAAATGAGCCACTATATTAAGCACTGATCACATGGTAGATGCTCCCAAAAAGGCAGCTGTTTTCTCCAAGCATTGTCTGCCATAGCAAAGCCTCCACCCACCTCACTGTAACAAACATCTAAGGTACAGTTAGTACCCGATATTATCGAGGGGGATAATTTAAAGGCTACCTAAATACCTGAGCTTACTGCTATGACTATTTTATGTCTCTGAAAACTGCTTCCTAAGCATAAAGCTTAGAACAGCTGTGTGCCCCGACCTTCCATCATTAGAAATTCCCCATTTTCCTGAAAACTCTTGTGAGAAAACAAAAGTGAAGGAGGAATAAACCTACCTGAAACAAGTGTGGCACCCAGACACAGGGACGTTGTCTGAAATCTATCTACCTGTTCAAAAGCTGTTTTAAAGATGTTTGGATTCTTTTGATCTAATTTTGTGTTGTTAAATATAGATAACATTTTGACAATCTGGGAAATGAACTGTTTTTATGAAACTTTGTTGCTGCTAAATATAGATTCTGATAAACACAGAAACAAAGAACCGTTTTCAGCCTGTTATTGGTGCCTCATGACTACAGGGCTTTGCATTTTCCTTTGTAGAATATTAAATGACATGAAAACATTAATTCTTGCCCCCTAAGAGTTTATATTCAAGGAGATTTCATTCATTGGGGAGAAAATAATTATCTCGTTTCGAAAATAGTAGGCAGATGGCTTAATCCACTGGGTTTAGTTTCAAACAAACAAACAAAATATTTTTGAAGTGTAGGAAAACTAAGAGAAACAGATAAAAACATGTCAAGAGTTTTACATATAATTCAGCTGTATGGAAACATTCAGTATTAAGTGTTAAATATGCACAATATTTAAACGTTTATCATCAGTCTAATATTGTTCTCTAGTTCCTGAAAGAGCCCATCGAATTCAGGAAGTTTTTTTCCAATAGCTACAATGAGGCTGGTTGCTACACTAAAATTTCATCATTATTGCCTTGCCTGGTATTTATTAAACACCCACCTTGTGCACAACAAAATTCTAAGGAATAGAACAAAGATTTGATGATGTAAACTTCCTGTCCATTAGTGAATTCAGTGAAGATGGGGAACTTGTAAATCTGGACTTGGAAAAGAAGAGTGTTTGTCCATTGCTTTAACCTCACAAAGAAAAGTGCAGAGACAATGTTAGAATGCTTTCCTGCCAAACACACAGGAGAGACTGCAAGGTGAGTCACAGGAGTCTCTGTGCAGACTGGAGCCTTCCCAGAAGTCCACCCACAACTTCAGACCTAAGCCTAGGCATTGTACTTCTACTGACCAAAGAATTATGTATTTTGAGACCCTTAGTGGATACCTGAGATCACGGATGGTGCCAACCCCTGTCTGTGCTCACTGTGATAAAGTTTGCTTTATAAATTAGGCATAGTAAGAGATGAGGAACATGGCTAGAGATGAAAAAGAATGAGTATAATAATCCACTACAATGAAAGCTACCTGAAATTTATGAATAGTTTATTTCTAGAATTTTCCATTCAATATTTCCAGGGTGCAGTTAACTGTGGGTAGATGAAACCATAGAAAGTGACATTGTGAGTCGAGACAAATAATATCAGTCTCACAGAGGTTGGAGCTCGAGGCTGAATGATATTTATTCCATCTAGAGACAAGGATAATAATTACTAACTGCAACAAAGGATGCTGCAGAATGCCCTCTAAGAGACAGATTAAAAGCAGCAAGAAAAGGTACTGACGAGAGCTTCCTGTCAGGTTGCAAGCTCTTGTCTTGACCAGCTCAGCTCAGATTACCCCAGCAGCCAGAAGGAACTTCTGAAAACATACACCTGTTGACAAACTTGCATCCATTGTACCAGTGAGGTGCATTTACTGAGAGATCTCTTTACAAGCTCACTTTATGTTCCCAGGCCCAGATGGGGACCCTTTTGCTCATCCTAGGGCATCCCAGGATGCCAAGCACCTTCACAATCAGGATCTCTCCCTAGGGCATTTGTTCTCTCTTTGGGGCACATACATGTGTTACCCTTCTGCTTTCTCTGAAATATTTTCCCCTGGCCCTATGCTTAGTCAGTGACAAGTCATCTTATATATCTCAGTTCATGTTGATTCCTGAGAGACGTCTTCTAGACCTACCCACCATGGGCTAGATCCCTGTATTATTCAGCTTTCTGTTACCGTGACAAAATCTGGAATAATTGACTTTAAAAGAGGAAACATGTATTTTGGTTCAGTTTGGAAAGTGTGGTCCACTGTTGGTTTCTTTTGGACCCATAGCAAAAATAGCACATCATAGTAGAAATTTGTGCTATAGGAAGTCCTTGCCCCACAGCTTGATGAGGAGGCACACATTTGTAATTCCTGTGCTTGAGAGATAAAGGAAGTCATGGTCAGCCTTTGCTATGTAGAAAAATATAGGAGGAGAAGGGCCAGGGACTAATACTCTCTTCCAGGGCACTCCCCTCCCCGCCCCCCACAATGACAGGATGACCACCATTAGACCCTAACTTTTAAAACAGTGTTTAATCTGTGGGTCATGACCACTTTGGGGATCACATATCATATATGATGCATATTAGATGCTTATATTACCATTCATAACAGTAGCAAAATTGCAGTTATGAAGTAGCATCAAAATAATGTGTTGGGGTCACCACAACATGAGGAACTGTGTTAAAGGGTCACAGCATTGGGAAGGTTCAAGATCTACTACTTTCAGATTGTATCATGAGCTGAGGACCGAGCCTTTAACACACAAGCCTTTAAGGGATATTTATCTATTCCCTAGCAACCCCTCTTTCATATTTTCCCATGTTCCTGGTCTTGGTCCTTCAAACCATTATTTGTTCATAATTGTGAATAAGTGTTTGTTGAACTCCACTCTACTACTAAATTTTAAGTCTCATGGAAGCATAAATCTCTTGCGTGTACATCAGCAAGATTTCTCACTGTGTATAGCAGCACAGTGCCATGCTACATTCTGTATTTACTGAGCACCTCTTCCATAGGAGGGGCCATGACACCTGCTGTAAAAGCAGAACTTGAAGGGGAGGATACAGAAAAACATATGACCAATTTTGCTATGTGTATGGTTTGTCTTTCTGTATAGCTACATCCCAACATTGAATGTGTATGCAGCAGATAACAATAAACAATGTATGCTCAGAGTAGCAAACAAATAAATGAGTCAATAGATCAATTACCTCTCTTTAGTCAAGAAAAATTTGAAGGACTTCCTGTGAACTATCTCCCAGCTTTCTGTGTCATTTACTAAGATCACAGAGCCATGCATTGTGAATAGCTAAATAGTCAGGTAGATTTCTCAAGTGTGAATGGATGATGTCTTTGTAATTCTGTTATTCAATACTTTACTTTATACATAATACAGGTTTGTAAATGATGGGTGAACAATGGGTGGATGATGGGTATGTGCATAAAAGGAACCAATCTAACATTTTGATTTGCACACAGATATATGTGTTCTTTTATGGACATATATTGGAGGCTAGAAAGACAGCTCAGTAGTAAAGAGACTTTGTTGCTCTTCCGGGGGACCAGCACCCTCACCAGGGAGTTCAGTTACCTATGCCATAATTCCAGCTCCAGGAAAACCTGATGCCCTCTTCTGACCTCCATGGGCACTGCATGGATCTGTACAAGAGTACACGTACATAAGCTCAGGCACAAGCACATACACACAAAATACAAAAGTGAATTTTTTAAATGACATATATCATCATCCCCTTCAAATGAGCCAAACAATTTTGCATGCATTTCAAAAAAATCAGTGAGATTAAAATATAGGGAAAAAACAAAAGGAAAAGTATATTCTCTTTATGGCCAATTCAAGGCATATTATTTATAATACACATTTGGCACTCAAATACTAAACTGTGGGTTAGCTTTTGCATATGTGTACACAGTTTATCAGCCCCAACTACACACAAGCTCCTTAAGATCTAAACATGTGTTTTCCTATATCCCCTCTCCCTCCGTTTCTACATCAGCTGGCACAATCCCTCTCATGTTAGAGGTACTCAGTAAATATGGAAAATATCGGACATGTTGCTGCTAGACACAGCTGAAAACTGAGTGTCCTGTTGAGTCTCATATTCTGTAAATACATGCTAGTTTCTTATCTGAACGTCATCCTTATCCTGATGTCGCAGCTCTGGCTGTTACAATGTTGCTGTTGTCTAGGCAGTAAAGACAGATGGATAGAAATGAACATAGTCACTTCAGAACTCAAATTGCCAAAATTATCACTTACTTCTGCAATAATAGCCAAAATTACAATACATTTTAATAATCTTTTTAGTTTTAATCATAACTATAATTCACATTTTAGTTTGATTTCAAAATCAAAAAAAAAGATATGAAAATGTGGCTTCTTTTTTATTAAGGGTCGGGGTAGGATAAGGACTCATGCAGTACAGGATGGCCCCAACTTGCTGTGTAATAGAGGATGACCTTGAATTTCTAATCAGTCTACCTTCACCTGCAAGAGTGATGGGCTTACAGGCATGCACCACCATACCTGGACATGAAAATACAGTTTCTGAAAGAAAAGACAACTGAGATGTTGGGTATTTGTGAAAAGCTGCTAAAATCCTAAAAGTAAATATTATATTGTTACATTTAGAAATAATATTTTTCTAGTTGGTGCAGTTTATATGGATTAAGAACATTTTTTGCAATGAACAAACACTAGATCCAACCAAGAAAGGAAGACAGGAGAGAGAAGGGACAGATACCAGCACAAGAGCACTGTGCATTCTTCAAAGCTGGATTAACCGGCGGATTAATCTCTCTGTACCTAGGCATGAAATACAACACCCCACCCATAAAACTGATTTAATACTCCTTATACACATATTTATCTTCAAATACTTGCTTATATGTAAACTACATATGTTATGCTATAATAATGTAGTATATAAAATGCTTAAGAGCATGATTGTTTAAGAATAGATGGACAGGACTAGCTAGCCATGCTTCCTTCAGTCCCCAGGGTGACTGTGCCCCGCTTGGAACCTGTGCTGGAAGCTGCTCTGAGGTCATTGCCCTTTTCCATCTCTGGGCTGCATCCTGGCTTTTCAGCTTACACTCCAGCTGTCTTCCTGCCCACCAAGGGCAGAACACACTCTTCTAAACCCCAGCTGGTTCATTTGGATGTCAAAATTTTCCATTTTCCCGTCCCAGCCTCTTCCTCCTGTGAGCATAGACCCTGCTCCCAAATCTGAGTTTGATCTACAAACATACAGAACGTCCACAACCAGGGAGGTGTTGGTTACAGCACTCAGGTGCAGTGTCTCTGGTTTGGGTTCCATCAACATTCCTACCAATCATTAACATATACATAAAATAAAATATCCCTTTGTCACCTCATTTTGGGTTTGGCTGGCTTTTCATCTTCATGCTATTTAGCGTGTCTTGTACTACACTCTCCTTCAAATGTGTCATCCAGATTCAGATGCCATAGCTAAGCAAGTACCTTCAAAAGAATAAGAGAACAATTGTGCTGAGCTGTCTTGAAGTGTCAGTCTACTGCGAGTCAGATGTCAACAATCACATAATGTTGTAATGCAGTGGTTTTCAGCAAGTGGATAGCAATCCTTTGAGGTTGATTGACCCTTTCAAAGGGGTCGAATAGCAGATATCCTGCATATCAGATATTATATTATGATTCATCACAGTAGCAAAATTACAGCTATGAAGTAGCAACAAAAATGAATGCTTGGGAGTCTCCACTGTATTAAAGAGTCAACCATTAGGAAGGTTGAGAACCACTACTGTAATGCTTAACACCCACAGAGCTACAGGATTCCCTAACATCAAGATAAAGGGGCCCATGTTTCTGGTCTCAGCTCCTCTTCTCAGCCTAAACTCTTGAAAATTTGGGGTTAGTTTATGTTTAAATTTGGCTATCTTGCTGGAAATGTTGCAATAAAGAAAAACAGAAAGAAAAATCATCTCTCTTTTTTTTAAAAAAAAGATTTGTTTATTTATTATGTATACAGTGATCTGTTTGCATGTATCCCTGCAGGCCAGAAGAGGGAGCCAGATCTCATTACAGATGGTTGTGAGCCACCATATGGGTGCTGGGAATTGAACTCAGAACCTCTGGAAGAACAGCCAGTGTTCTTAACCTCTGAGCCATCTCTCCAGCCCAAATCATCTCTTACAGATGGGCAGAAGCAGAAGCTGCAACGCTGGTGGAAACCCATAATAAACCACCACTAAAGAGAGAGGTACCAAGGGCACAGACACGCTCATCTCCAGCCACCGCTTCACATCTCACCTGAGAGTTGATGAACTAGAAGGAGAAGTATGGAGAAGCCCAGGCACTAAGAAACACACAGTCCAAGAAAGCAAAATAAAACAGAGACACTTGTCAACACCATGTTGTCCAACAAGAAGTAGTTCACGGTTGCAACACATCTGTAAAACACGACATTGAGTCTTAGCATTACACTTTTCAATTCCATAGAATTCATAATCTACCTCTTCCAAATATGCAATGTTACTCTTTTCAATTTCCAGCTTTGTGATGAAAGTCTGAGTTTTACCTCCACCGGCCTGCCTGAAGCCAGTCTGCTTCTGGTCATTCTACTCTCCTGATGGCCCCTGGATCTGCTTCAGAGGTGTGCTGTTCATGGTGGCTCTAATTTCTGCTTCCTTGCGTCTTTGTGTGCATGTTATCTTCAATTATATAATTGATGTTGGAACTGAAAAAGAAAATTGACAGTAATAGTTTAACGACCAGCGTGACTTTGTCATCTCTGTGAGAGGATGTTCAGTTACTTCTGCCTGGAGCCCGGGCACCAGCAATGTGAGTTCCTCTGAGAGTTCAATCTGTGTGTGAGCTTCAGGATCTGAAATCACAGTTGCCAGAAGGCCTGGCCAGGTGCAGTGAATGGCTTGTGTCTGCATTGTTGTCGTCCCTGGGTCATCCCTTGGGCAGCCCACCCTCAGTCTCAGTGTTCAAACAAATCTCGCTTCTGTAGGACCACCAGCCTCCATCTGTGGTGTGCCACACACACAGTCTCCAATGCTACCACAAGCACAGCTCGGCCATCTTTAGCCTATCTGTCTTCCACACATTCCAGGGTAGCAAAAGCCCCCTCTTCTCCCCAGATAAAGGTCATCTCAAGTACTAGGTTTGTGTTTCTAGATTTCTGTCTTTGAGGTCTTGTCAAAATGAGTCTTTACCATTTTGTTAGTTCTTAGCTCTTTGTAGATAGAATTTTTAGAGATTTTACAAGATGTTGCCCAGATTTTTTTCAATAAATCTCAATAGGACCAGGTTGATCATTAAAAGTGACAAAAATAAAAAACTAAATATACCTCAACTTTAAACACTTACTGAAAATTAAGTGAATGGCCCATACCTCAACTTTAAACACTGAAAATAAGGAAGCCTAGAGTATCACCAATCTTCAACAGCTTCCTTATGGGCAGCCACTGCATGTCATAGTTTAATTACTTATATCTAACTCCAAAATAAACTATTTGGCAGGTTGTAAGCATTACAGTGTGGATGGAAAGGTATGCTGGCAGCTGGGAACCAAGGCACATCACAAAGTCACACCACACAACAAACCTCACACAAGTGATTTATTAGGAGGGAAAAGCCGGGAGAGTGGCTGCCTCTGCTTGGGCAAGAAACAGCAGGGAACAGAACAGAGACAGGGTTTATATAGAGTTTCGGGGACAGGGAACATTTGAGAGTGACGCTTTCCAGGGTGAGGATTGGTGGGATTTCAAGTCCAGAGCTTGGGCTTTTTATTCTGTAGGATGGGGGCTGGGTCCAGCCGCTAGGACAGGCCAAGTGTTCTGTAGGTTAGAGCCCAAGCTCTGGGTTTTGTAATGAACTGGTGAGAAAATAAGAAAAAGACACTCAATGTGACCCCAAATATTAGTGATAGAACCCAGGAGAAAGTTGTTTTCCACTTGAAAGTTGGCAGTTGACCTCTGCCACATCACTTCCTGTGGGACAACCAAGCAAGTTTAGGAGTCTTGAGGCAAAAATGACAGCTATCTCAGCAAATAGAAATAGATAAGGATTACTGGTGAGATCATCCCATCCACAGTTTAATTTCAAAGACTTTCAAAACTCTTCCTAAAGAAGAGAATGGAATTGCACAAGAACAGAGCAGAGCTTTAACTAGGAGTCCAGCCCTGCATTTTGGATCTCTCCTGCAGCAGAATCTCCCTCCATCTGCAGCTGAGTTCTCCCCTCCGGGTTTGGTTTCCCTAACTCTCAAATGAGGTAAGAAAGGTGAGGTGGGTAGCTCTGCTCTGCAATGACACTAAATCCTACAGAGGAAACTGAACTGCATTGCTTGTTTTCCTCATTGCTACAACAAAATACCTAAGCAAAGCAACTTACAGCAACCCCTTCTGTAAGTTGGAAGGATCACAGTCGGAAGCTTCAGTCCGTCAAGGCGAGAGGTGGGCGGCAACGGAGCAGGATCATGAGGCAGCTGGGCACGATGCATCCACTGTCAGAATGGTACTGCCTTCATTTCTAATGCGTCTTCCATCTCAATTAACCCAGTCTACAGAGTCTCTCAGAGCCTTGTCTTCTACAGGATTCTAGATTCTGCAAAGCAGCCAGTTAATAGCAACCATCACAGAGGCCCACAGGCCAACTCCAGCCCCAGGCCTGGGCCAACTGTAAGCAAAGTGCTTCCATTTGAACCTTTGTTATAACCTTCCTAAAAGGCTCTTGCGCTGGTTGGAAGACAGAGGCTCGTCCACTCTCTAGAATCTAGTAACTACCAGAGAAGACATCTCCCATCCTTCGCATCCCTGACAAGCCCCATGCCAGTGACTCACACCCCTGAGTAAGAAGTGTAAATGGATACTACGACTTCTTCCAGATGGCAAGCAAGAGCGGGAGGGAGTAGTAAATTCTCATTGATGGCGGGACCAAGAGTGGCATCTAAGTAGGCCACCAAGCCAGAGTCCTTGTGTCCAAAAATTTCAGGGCACTTTATTTTAGGGAAAAAATTCTGTCGGGTGATTTGCTTATGTCACAAGGAAATATGCACACAGGCACATGATGTGGTCTCAGTTTATGAAATCATTTTACATAAAAGGCATGCATAAACATTTGAGGCAATATGTTTGGAGTCCATGGGCATCTGTAATTAAAACGACTCCAAAAGCATTCTGGTTGCGCTCCTAAATGTAGGTTCCTCCTTCCGAATTCTGGCCTGCTCTGAACTGGCCCATCCTTTCTGAGTTTGGGTGCTTACTAATATTTGATTCTGCATCTTCCAGCTACAGTGTGATGAATCACAGGGGAAAAAATGCTACACAGAAAACTTTATTACGGAAAGTGTGACTGTTGGTTAAATTAGCATCTGATGGATGCTTGTCTTTTACTCTTTTTTAGGTATCAGTTTCATTTAAGTGAGGACAGCACTGTTGAGTTAAAGATGAAGCATGATCCGAACAAAGGAGAATGCAGAACACGTGAAGCACCATTGTGACTGTTAAGGCTTCCTGAACTCACGCCTGCATTCATTTCAACAACTAGCGTTAGTGAGACCGTGAAGGTACAGGAAGCTATTACTAGAGGTTTAAAACTGGAACCAGGAGTGGGGTGGCAGCACAGTTGGTATCGTGTCTAACTTGACAGCGTTATGGCCTAAGTTCAGTCCTCCAGAACCCCGATGAAGATAAAGCCAGCCAGATGGCCATGTGGACCTGCACCCCCAGCACTGGGGATACAGAGGCAGGAGAGTCCCTGGGGCTCACTGACCATCAGTCTGGCCTCATTGGTGAGTTGTAAGGTAATAAGAAACCCTGTCTCAAAAGCTGTTGGGACCAGTGAGATAATCCAGGAAGGAGAGGAGCTCGCTGCACAAGCTGATGAGCTGAGTTTGGTTTCCAGGATTTCCACTGGTCACCTTTACACTAAGGTGACAGTGAAGGGCTGACTCCACAGAGTTGTCCTCTGACCTCCATGCACATGTGTGATACACTTGGACACACCCACAAATGTCTAAAATAAAAACGAGGCTGACAGCACCTGAGAAACAATGGCCAAGGTTGTCCTCTGGCCTCCACGTGCACACACACACACACACACACTTATTAAAGACTGAATGGGATAAAGTATGTAATGCACTTAGAGTAGTGCTTTGCATGTGTTAGTTTAGAAAATAATATGCAGGAAGTAGGAGAGATGGCCCTGCAATTGAAGGCCTACTCTTGAGAGAACCTGAGTGAAGGTCCCAGAACCCACATGGAGTAGCCCTCGCCCACTTGTGCTCCAGCTTCAGAGAATCCAAAATCTTCTTCTGGACTCTAGGGACTCCACTTCCAGATCCACACATTTACAGACACACACACACACACACACACACACACACACACACACTCACACATGCTACCCAGAAAAAAAAAATCTGTCTTGTGTAAGTCACAAATATTTTGGAGTCACTGTTATACACAGACAAATGTATCCTGAATAGAATAGACTGCTTCCACTAACATCAACTCCTGAGAAGAGTGTAGAATTTCTTTCTCATAGATAATACAGACATTGTTTTCTCAATGGAAAGCAACAAATAATGGGATAATTCAATTAGTCAGCATCAGCTTTATTTTTTAATTAATTTTTAATTAAATTAATTAAAAATTAATTTAATTTTTTAATTTTAAAAATTAATTTTTTAATTTAATTTTTTAAAAAATTAAATTTTTTTTAATTTTTAGTTCTAGAAATTTAATTTCTAATTTAAATTTAATTTTTAGTAAACTTGTCTTCCATCTCTCTTCTGCTCTCTTTCTGAATAATTCAATCTGGAAAGCATTCGACCTGTAAACCAGATGTCTTAGTGGTGTGGTAGCTGCACAGTGTATTGGAGCACTTCCTGTGAAAAGATGCAGAGATGATGTATGTCGGAAGCACTGGTCTACTTCAGTGGGTACAAAGGAGCAATTGGCACAATTCAGCACATATAAGGGGGAAATATATGAAATAATGAAAGCCAGGAAGATGGTATGAACCTATAGCTGTGAGCACAATGTGTATATGTACATCTCTGCATTATTTCCTAGCTGAAAAGAGCCCAGTGACAGTGTTCCCACCCAGTGCCCAAATTCCAATGTCTAAATACTGAGTTCCGCTAAAAGGGTTCAGGGATTTGTACAGAAATAGCCAATGAACCGGCTGGGTCTAGGAAAAACGAGCTGGTCTGGAGTTTCCTTCCCTTAAAGAACAGACTGCCAGAGGGCACAAAGGGGAGTCTCACAGGACAAATATGGTGCCATGAGTGTCCAGTGAATAATGATAGTATTGTTGGTAAAGAAAAGAATCTCAGCATCTATTCAGTACTGGATGGATGGATGGATGGATGGATGGATGGATGGATGGATGGATGGATGGGTGGATGAATGAATCAGGAGAGGAGAAAGATTTTCCTTACAACAAAATGCTATCTGATTACTGTAAAAGCAGTGTGAACTCAGAAAGTCAGCATTACTTCAGTGAGACACACCAATGGCCCCACACCTACAGGTGAAAGTTTGACAGAGATTATTTCTATTATCTCGTGGGAATTATCCCCATAATCTCAACAGTCTTCCACACACACACCAGATACTTATTAATTACAAACAGGGTATAGCAGTTTTGCAATAGGCCCAATGGGATCTTAGGAGATCAAGATTAGTATTATGGTATTATGGAGGCCTGGGAAGCTGACTTATTGGGTAACATGCCGGCTGTACAAGCATGAGGAGCTGAGTTTGGATCCTCAGCACCCCAGTACAAACCAGGAGCGGCAGCTGGAGGCTGTAATCCCAGTAATGAAGCAGTGAAAACAGAAGGCTCTCGGGGGTGCCAGTCTAGGGAATCGATGAGCTCTGTGTTCAATAGGAGATCCTGTCTCACAAAATAAAATGGCTAGTGACAGAGCAAGACAGCAACCTCAGCCTCTGACCTACACACTCATGGGCTTGTGCACCTGCCTGTGCAGACACACACACACACACACACACACACACACACACACACACACACAGAGA